CCATAAATAATGACCGCTCCGTAACCATAGATATCTTATATACACTAGATAGTGCATCTAATTATTCTGCAATTCAAAAATTGAAGCCGTGATTGCAGTCTCAGGTCGTTCCCATGAAATGAGAAGACTCGTATGTATTCTATTTCTTAAACAGGGAACTTAAACATCAAGTTAACCCTATTCAAATACATTTTTAAACTATTCAAATGATGAAAGTTATTGTTGTTTTTAAGCGTTAATTGACTAGTGGGAACGACCAACATGGCCGCCATCTATTCAAATGGGGTTAACCGCTGGAATATTCTTGGCTTCAATTTTACTAAAAGAGATGCGCTATCTAGTGTATATAAGATATCTATGTCCGTAACCCACCTTTGAGCAACCGGTCCCTGGAGAGTGGAGGCTAAAAAGTATGAAAAATTTTCTGAATAAGCACCCCCAGATCCCCCCGAAAAGTTGTCTTTTACAAATTCTCCATCATCTAGTTGGGTCCCCCTTCTTAGGTTCCCATTTAAAGTGCATATGACATGAATTTTTTTATTTTCTTAAATGAAAGAACTCTTTAAGCTGTAAGGTAACTTATTTTTCAGTTTCTTGTTTTGTGGTTTGTTCCCGAGATATTTCAATTTGTTTGATATGTAAATGAGTGTGAATATGTCCGCTAATTTATGACGTCATGTTGGTTGCAAGCTCTTCAAAATGGTTGAGTATCACTGCTATCATCCAAGATGATAATTTCAAACTTCACTCACTGGTAAATGTGATGAAACACTGGAGAAAAACGTAAACTGGTATCAACAGTTTTTAGAGTTAATACATTTATAACCAGTGTAAGTTGAGCTTGCAACCAACACGACGTCATAAATTAGCGGACATATTCACACTCATTTACATATCAAACAAATCGAAATATCTCGGAAACAAACCATAAAAACAAGAAACTGAAAAATAAGTTACACTACAACTTAAAGAGTTAATTCTTTCATTTAAGAAAATAAGAAATTTCATGTCATATGCACTTTAAGAATTTCGTAAAAATTCTACTGTTTTAGATTTCCCAGTACAGCAATGAATAACTTGCAATCTAGAGAGCTGTACTCCTGCCCGACACGCTGCGATTACAATGCATTCTAAACTCCCAGGGGTAATGAAGTTTGGGTGTTTACAACAAATGGGTGATTTCTAAAGGTTCACCCCTTTTTTATACACCGTGTAGTTCAGGTAAAAAGTGGGGAGCAGCCGAGCAGGGTCCCCCGATTTGGAGTCCGAGGGGTGGGGGTTACATAGTTTACTATTGCAAACTAGAAACTATTAAAAAAATAGTAAACTCGCATGGGAATTCGCATGTGAGCTCTCTACAAATGAACTACACATTTTGCCTGATGACGAGTCTCTATCAGGACGCCACAACTGACCGGTATTTGTCTTTAAAAAAGTCATAATTTTGCCATGTTATTCGCCGCCCTGGCACCGGGCACATAGACCAGATTTCTGCTGCAATGCAAACGATGCTGCTGCCAATGGACATGTTGACAATGTCGACTGCAATAACTTGTGTTCCAACAACACGGGTACGAGGCCTCTTGCTGGCAATTACAACACCATTGCTTGCGCTTCGCGTCACGAACCGTGTCGCGCAGTACACGTTCGTGCTCACGCTTTAATTCAGAGATCACTTTCTCACGTTCGCGACTCATCGCGCCACGCAACTCGTTCACTTCCATGTCATGACAGCGGACTAATCCCGATTTCGTCTCTTCGAGTTCGCGCCTTCTTCGCTGCTCAAAAACCGCTCGAAGTTCGTTCACGCTCGCGACGTGACGCCTTTGTAAATTATTCGTCGATTCCTCAAACTCTCGTCGCTTTTGTTCAAAAACGTTACGGATTTCGTCCAATTCCTGTTGGTGTTGTCTTTGTAACGTCTGTTTCGCGTCCTCGATTTCCTGCTGTTTTTGTTCCGTCGTGATTCGTTTTAAATTCTCCGCGAATTGCTTGCGTCGAACATTTTCCATTTCGTTTAATTCCACCATCTCTTGATCGTATTTGACTTGTATTTCAGCCTTGAGCTTATTCATCTCGTTCTGTTTTTCCTCTTCCCAAAGCGATCTCAACTCGGAAATTTTCGCCTCGAGTGACGATTCCCTTTCTGAATTCTCTTTAATGACTCCGTCGTGATGCGTGCCATTTTGTTGCAACGTTTCTTCAAAAGTTGCGATAAGTTCCTTCACTTTCTTCTTTGAATTACCATTATTGAATCGATCATTCTCTTTGTTGATGCAAGAGGAGATATCTTTATTTTGTTGTTGTAAGTTCAACTTCTCTTTCGTCTCTTTTAAATCCTGTTCCAAGTCATCTATTCGTTTCCGTAGTTTATCGATGACCGTTTTATTTGGGTCTTCGTCTGTTTGGCATGATATCGAGGCAAAGCAGCTTTTAATTTCGTCCGAAGTCGACGGCGAGTCATCAATCTCATTACTGGCGTCCTAAAATAAAACAAAATACAGGGTGTCTAAAAAAAAATGAAGACCTTTAGAAATTATCCTATTGTTATAATTTGAATGGCTGCGCACAACAAGGTGTCCCAAAAAATCCCCAAAACTATTCAAATAACTTTTTTTCTGTGATGGTGTAATAATGTACTCAGGCAAATATGATGCGTGTGATGTTACTCTGAGTGTATATCCACACCGGCCAGGCATGTTTTTCAAGCTTGCCCGGTGTGGATATACACTCAGAGTAACATCACAAGCATCATATTCAAATAACGTATTGTTAGAATTTGAATGCCCTAGCACTAAGCTGAATGCAAAGATGCGTAAAATATTGACAGGGTGTACATATTATAAATGTTGACTTATTAAGAAATTATAATATCTTTGTAAAGCGGACGATTTTCTGCTCTTGGAAATTTCAAGCAGCTTCTTAAACAGTTTCTTTATGCATAAAATTTACTTATGTCAAGCTTTTATGCACTTGTGGATTCAGCAGAGTGCTGAGGCATTCAAATTCTAACAATACGGTTATTTCAATAGTTTTTTTGTTTTTTGGAAGACCCTGTAGAGTTTTTACTGTCTTACGCGCTGCGTTAAATTAATCAGCACATAATTCATATGTTGACCGAAACCAAAAACCCTCTACAAAAAACATTCTAGTCTCCCCAGAATTGTTTTATATTGTTAGTCTATGTTCTAAGTAAAATAGAGCACGAAAAAAAATGGGGGTTACCTTTCTTAGGTATTAGCGTGCCCTGGCGAGAATATTTCAGACAGAACTGATAGATCTACCGGGTGGCGCAAAAAAATGTTCCCCCTCCTTGACTTATTGTAATCAAAAAACTAAAGAAGCTATCTTATTCAAATAAAGTTTATTGAACGCAGTAATGTCTAACTTAAATTTCGATGTATACCTTGACCATTTCTATAGAATATTAGCCGAGATATAGGCGTTTAAACCTAAGGTAGCAATTTGGAAGAAGCGAAAATTTTCGCTTCTTCCAAAAACGCTACCTTGAGTGTAACGCCCACATCTTGGCTAATATTTTATAGAAATCTGCAAGGCATACATCAAAATTTACGTTAGACATATATAACTATGTTCAATAAATTCTATTTGGAAAAGATAGATTTTCGGGTTTCTTAAGTACTATCGTTTAAACATGAGCAGCCGATCTTGATCTGATATACAAACTCGAGCCGAAGGCGAGACATTGTCTAAGCCGAGAAAATCAAAGCTGAAGTTTATGTAAATCAGGACAAATCTTTATCCGATTTACAAACATATTGATTAAACATTCATTTCTTTTGTATTTTCCTCGTGAATTATTAATGAGATTTTTAATTACAATGAGTCGAAGAGAGGGGACATTTTTTTTCGCCACCCGATATATAATATCTCACCTCATCCATTGGTTCGATTTTCGGTTTGACATCCCCTCCAGCTTTTCTCAACTCCGATTGATATTTCTGCAGTTCTTGTTGGCCATCCAACCAGCTTCGCGGTCGCTTCTTTATGTCCGGTTTGCTCGTTATCGGACTAATGTTACGGTAGTATACCCACGCTCTGAAGTCAAAATGAGCTAGGATTACACGTGCGATTTTTTTCTCGTGCGGGTAATGCAACAGGACAAAATTTGATCGCGTTGCCGATGTGCAACGTATGATAATTTCAAAGCCAGAGTTTTACAAATCGAGGTTAAATTCATGCACGATTTCTTGACAAAATACAATGCTCATAATTTTAGACACACGTTTAAAAGCAACAAAAATATTGTGTTGTCAATAGACTGCCTAAAGATCTATAATATGCGTTTAAAATGTATGAAATTGTACTTATTCTATGACCTTGGTACGTTACTTTACTAAAACGACGACGTTTTAGAAATTAACTGATAATTCTATGGAGTTAGATAATTTTTTATTTCTTGCGAAAACCGAATTCTATAATTGTTTTATTACACTGACCTAAAAGGTCAAGTGTCTTAAATCCCTAATTTTCTGTTTTTAGTTCCTGTTTTCTTCGTCGTCGAGAAATCAAGTTTGCGTCAGCTTATATTACAAGCTCATTTTCCAGTGTTCCAGTTTACTATACAGATCAGTTTTCAAGATGGAGGCCATTCAATGAGTGACTATTTCAGCCTCAAACAATTTCTTCATTTGTCAACGAATTTTACCGCGTTTTTCTGTGGATATTGTATTTATCTTACTCTGCACTTTCTTGGAAGTTGACTTGGTGTTTTTTTCGTGCAATGTCTCTGGAAATGCGATATCTGGGTCGCTACGTTTTTCACTGAAATTTTATACGTTACGGACTTTAATACGGAATGTAAACAATGTTGTCTGCGTTAGCGCATCGCATGCTCGGAGACCATGTGTTTCATTGGACATTACGATTTGTATCCCTTGTTTATTTACATTAGGCCAAAAAAAAATATGTGGGTTTACGGTTTCCCGACCCTACCTAGCTTTTGGACGTCGAAATCCCGACCCTAAACTTTTTTATTGGATCATGCTTGTAAGTGTTTCCACTTAGAGGAAAAAGTTTGTGGAAAATTGAAATTTGAGGCAATATTAGGGAAATTTATCTTTGGATGTGGAAGCACTGACTAAACAAAATGGCGGAAAATTAAAAAAAAAAGTTAAAAAAAAAGTTAAAACCGACCTACCCTACCTACGTTTTTATAAGAAGAAACCGGAAACCCACATATTTTTTTTTGGCCTTATGCATTATTAGTGCATTATGACGTTATTCCGTTGAATATTATATCAAAACTTCATATTTCAATATTTGGTCAGCTATTGAGTTAATATGACGATTTAACATTGGCTGTTAGCCAATCAATTTTAAGACCAAATCTTTAAAAATAAACAATAATGTGCGTTGTACCTTTGATGACGCGTTTCAAAGAATCTGACTAAAGCTTTTGTTTTGTCTTCATTCCATTTCAAAACCTGGGAAAGAAAAAAATCGTTTGTGAGACTGCAGTAACTTACTGGCTTTAATTAAAGGAAATTGGCGATAAAAAATTAATTTGTCTCATTCAAAAGAACTCTTAAAATTATATATTGAACTCCTTTACCGATTTGTCATATCTTGCCGTTAGTTCTCGAAATATCTAGACCGAAATTAATGAGCTGTCCGCCATTTTGGACTAACAGGAGTTAACCGGAGTGAACTAAATAAAACTACTCTAAAATGACCGAGTTGTTTGAAATGTTTTAATCATTTCTAAATTTCGGATAGCAACCAGAAACGAAGTTTTGGACCCCTATTGATCGCTTACTCTCAAGATAATAAATTAGCGTGACCCTCTCTTGACGTAACATACATATCCTCAATAATCCAAGATGGCGAACAGCTCACTTTTTTCAGTCGAAATATTTTGAAAACTAAGCAAGATATAAACAATGTGTAATATAGTGTAATACTTAAACCTCCGACTATAAGCCCCCCCCCCCCCCGAACATAAGGGACCGGTCATTATTTATGGCAGGGGTGGGGGCCGAAGAGAAAGTATAATGAAGCCGGAAAAAATCATTACCCCACCTTTTTCGAAACAAAATTTCTAGCTACCCCACCGGTGGAATGCCAGAAAATTTTTTTACCCCACCCAAACCTATCTTGTTGCAATGTCATTTAAGGTTCGACATAAAATATGTAATGAAACAGTTTAGTATTTTGTATGCGTATTACTCATCAAGGTACAAAATTGCCCTTTATGAGTATTGAGTAAGATATCATCTGCTGTTAGAGAGTAAATAATAATTATTATAGGGTGCTTTGACCACAGTGGCCATTATAATTAAAAGGGAATAGGATTGATTGGTAATACTTGTTTTACAATATCCCTTGCCCCTTATTTCTTGTGGAGTAATTAAAGCACACTAACAGTCATGCCTTATTATGGGTTACCCCTACAATTAATAGCAAGGTACTATATAAAGAATTATACTATAGTTATCTGAAGGCTTAAAATTTGTCTACTTGAAAAATTGAAATATGAATGGGTTTTTATAGTTTGCATTCAACGCTATATTGAGGCCCCCCTATACCTCTTCACAATATGCTTTCACGTAAAAATATTTTGCCTTTTCACGAGTCACGGATTAAGAAAATCATCGATCACGTTTCACGGCTAAGATCGGGCCCCCTATACTTTTTGCGTGAAGCGTGAAGGGCTTATTTTAACTGTGGTAAAATAAGCCCTTCACGCTTCACGCAAAAAGTATAGGGGGCCCGATCACGTTTCACGGCTAAGTAAAATAAGCCCTTCACGCTTCACGCAAAAAGTATAGCGGGCCCGATCACGTTTCACGGCTAAGTAAAATAAGCCCTTCACGCTTCACGCAAAAAGTATAGGGGGCCCTCTATATTCCCTTTTCTCGAGATAGTGCAAGGCTAGTCCCATAAACATATATTAACAATGCACTGATATAAAACCTGTACAGCATATATTTTAATATTTTAGAACACTAACCGTATTTCACCACCCTATCTCTTTCCCACTTTAAAGTTTCACTGTATATAATTTGGTTTCTTTCACATTCTTGCATTTCTTTATTAATTAAAATGCACTTTTATTTTGAAACAGTTTCACAAAATATGTGCTCCCCCATGATTGCAACTATCTAAATTCTAAAATTTCCTCTGAAATTCCTTTAACATTTCCTTACTATAGACAATCACATGTATTATCACGGAAATTTAAAGGAATTCCTTAAGAATTCCCAAGGAATTCTTGAAGTTTACGAAATCAATTTAATATTTTAATTTGTAAACAATACAATGATACAAAGGAATGTCCCATGTGAGAATATCTGAATTTAAAAATGATGTTACTGTAAATTAATGAGAAAACGTTGCTGTTATACAGTGTGAAGATAAAGATATTCATCCGAATTCCAAGTATGATTATATAAACAATTAATTTAATCTGTAAAACGGGTAAATAGATTTCACTTATTTTATCCATGTATACATGGTCTGCTAGTAAAGAAAAACAGCTAGTTGCCAAAGACTCAGAACAATGTTTGAGCTGAATATATTATGAACTAGCCATTGGAATGATTCTCCAGATTCACAAGAGGCATGGGGCATATTTCATGATTTGCTACCTGAATTGTCCACATGGTTTACAAGCACATACTGGATATAAATATTAGTTATACAGTATCAAGTGTAGATGCCCAAAAATTAAATCCTGAAAATTTAATAGACTGTACATATACTTTTTGAAATATGTAATAAGGGGATGTTTATATGAGGGTCTGAATGGGGTTAACTGACTATTGACATTTGCCTGAATTTTTGACTGACAACTGACAAAATATCCTAACTGACAACTGAGAAATGATGAAAAAATGATGAGTCAGCATTTGACAGTAACTGACTACTGACACCTTGCAATATATCGCACTGACAACTGACAACTGGCTTAAATTTTAGCTGACAACTGACACCCAAAGACCCCCATTAAGACCCTCTTATATGGGGGCAAGCCTGGATGCCCGGGGTTAGGGGCTACAGACTTAAGGTCACTTTTCCAGAGGCAAGATCTCGGGCTAAAGGGGCGGGATCTCGCTTAGCTATATCTGGGTCCACTCTTTACCCATATATACACAAGGTGAACTTTAGTAAGAAATAACAACAAAGGCAGGATCTCGCCGAAACTAGGCCAGCTTGGGTACCCTGGGGTTGGCTTGCAGTTGCACCATATAAACAGCCCCTATATATAGGCAGTATATATTTTTTCTGGTAATTGGAGTCTTTGGAGATTTTGTGTGTAAATGACTATAAAAATGACCCTTTACGGGTGGGTGTTTCTGTCAACATTTTGGAAAGCAATATTTTATTAAAAAATTAGAATAATCACATATTAAATTCTGATAGTAGTATATATTGTATTGTGTGATTAAAGTAAGGTTATTTTTTTGTTTACCCCACCTCTGCATGCAAGGATTTTTTGGCCACCCCACCTAAAGCAAGTATTATTTTTCAGTTACCCCACCATTTTCTCTTCGGCCCCCATCCCTGCCATAAATAATGACCGGTCCCTAAGCCCACCACATATACTAACGCTCACTTCATTCCAAATATAAGCCCCGAATATATAAGCTGTCCCCCGAATATATATAGTTTTTCCTGAATATATAAGTTCCCCGAATATAAGCCCCCTGAATATATAAGTTCCCCGAATATAAGCCCAATGGCCGACTACGTTATTCAACATTGACATTGTCTTTTAATATAGCAGAGAACGATATTTAAAAAAATTGTCGTTGTCTTTATACATGTAGCTTACTATGTTAATCAAAGTGCGTTATTAAAACATGTTTATTTTCCTGTTTATGACTGACCTATTTATGTCTGACATGTTTATTATTAACACAAAATATCGTCCATGTATTAGCCCCCCCCCGTATATAAGCCCC